GGTCGTTTCCGGCTGGACGTCATAGTTGATACTGGTGTCAACAGCGTTGGAACTGCGCCCAGTCGGCGCGGTGATAGTTGCGTCGGGAAACTTCGAATCGGTTCACGGAGGAACCTACTTCGGCCATCACCGGATAGTGGTCCGAGCTGAGCTCTTGGGTTGCGAGATATTGTTAGCCAAATTGCTGATGTAGAAGTCGATGGTAGCGTGAGAACCGGACATTGTACAGGATGGTGCCGACCAATGTTGACGATAGACGTCTTGCCGCACTAGAAGGACTTTCTTCGCTAGTAGATAACTTCGCCGATTTGACTGCGGCCTCCCAGAGACCTCCGAAGTGTGGTTCTCGGGGCGGAATGCACTTCCACGAGATTTCGTTGGATGAACACCAGTCGAAAATTTGTTCACGATTGGAAGTTTTGACCTTCAGCATGCGGTAGATCCTGTTGAGGGTATGCGAAGCACCTTTGAAGGTAGTTGCATAGTGTAACCCGCCAGCCTGTCGAGCTTTCCGTTCACAACATGGGTGGTTTAAGCGCCACTCCCAAAGGGAGACCACCCAGCAGATTGCAGGTTTGCCCGGCCTGAGACCTTCCTGAGGATTGGGTCGATGTTTCCCGAATACGGGGAGAATGCTGACTGGCTGCGGGAAAGATTCGCCCAAGAAGATTACAGGTGCACAAGAACAACCTTTTGTCCTGAACAGAAGTCACGTGAGCGGGGTTTTCATCACGGGCCTAACCAGAACGATCTTTCGTACCAGCTGTTAAGGTTCGAGAGACGCCAGAGATCAGAATCGGGCTGATCATCCCAGTAACCAAAGCGAACGGAACGACATGGAAACCCCCGAAGACGTTAAAACCTGAGAGCTTTTCCTAGTACCTATCATAAGAAAACCATGTAATTGGGTGTTCAACGGTATTTATTTAGGGGAACATCACAATTGTTGCCCTTTACCTAAACTCATCTCGACACCAAAGTTCTACTCGAATAAAACAAGCTTTTCCGATCGGTACATTCGTTTGTGTATTGTTTGCTCTCTACATGTCTGCTTGCCTAGGCCTTTATCTTCCCTTCCCTTTCCTCTCCTCTTTCCTATCCTTTAGTGTGCACTACCAATGCTATTTCCCAGACGTGTGTTCAGCGTGTGTCCTCCTAACCATTCCTGTTCTTCGGATGCTTCGGGTTTTCACTGGTTAACCCATTCAGTGAGACTCTCACGGACTTTCGTTCGGTCTCATGCGCATGGACGATACAACGAGAAATGGGTTACATGCATGTACTCACGATTGACTACCTAGGGTTTATGTCGCTGCAGCTTGATGAGGAGACGGCGGCGCGCGGTACCGAAGCTGCGTACGCACTACTTCGTCCCAGAAACTATCGCGGATGCGATCATACGATGCTGATTGGTCTCACTCACCGGAAGCGCGGGCTTACACGGGAACGCGGCACATGCGTTCGTTCGTCCGTACCCACGACCACGTGTTGCGTTGGTTGTTCGGTGTTCCGACAGATACCGATGACGGTTTCGTTTGGCCTGCCTGTCCAGGTCGCGTAGGTTAACGGACGCGACCTCTTCCGACCACGTGTGCCTCGGGGATACTCCGAAGTTGACAGGTGCGGTCAAAAGCGGTTTCTCACGAAAGGTGGTGTGTCGGCAAATGGCCTTCGCTGCCACGAACCTATGGGGATAACACACGCGCACGCTAGTAAGTCGACCTATTTTGTAGTCTAGGAATTACTACCTTTACCTCATGAACTTCTGGATCCACACGCTTTGCCGCCCACTGCACTGCACTAGCTAGAGTTTGCCTAACTTGTCTCTAAAGGAGAGGGAAATGTTTTAACATTCCTACTAGGGATTCTCATGTCGTTAACTACCTGTTTAAGCACACCACGACACGATAAGAAAACTGACCGCTCTTGCCTCTTCCACAAGTCGATTCGAATTGAACGATTCAAGCTAGGATATTCCTCAGTTAGCCGCTAGTACAGAACTTTTCCCCGGAATCGTGGAATTGAACGAAGTCCAATTTCACGAACGCCAAAATTCTCGCAATTGTGCACCTGATTGTTAGGGCTTCGCAGCATCTCTTCCTAACGAGCTGTTCAAGCATCCAGACAATTTCTCTCCGAAATTCAGGGGGAGGGCGCAAAGCCGAACGGAGAAAAAGGTCAACGCATTTTAAATGGAAATTTGGCGGGTCGATGTCCGCTTCTCGACGTGGTCGCGTCGGTACGCTCAACAGGCAGTTACATTTTATTTTGCGCTTGCAGCTGAACGCAGGGAACTCATTTTGTATGACAAGTGTAACTCAACATGAGTGGATATTCTTTGGCGGTGAACACATTTATGAATTTAATTGAAAAATCGAAACTTCATGCAATTTGATTAAATAAGTATGTTGTATAAATATGAATTCTGAACTAACTAAATAAATAACTATCTATATGGAAAGCGTACTTGTTACAATAGTCGGAATGGAGTTCGACGACCTTTCCTCGACGGGCGACTAGGCGACGAAGTGCAGCTAGAAAAGCAGTGGTTGTTAAGTCGCTAACCAGCTCAATATGGACAGCCCTGGTTGAGAAGCAGACGAAAATGGCCACGTACACTTTGGTGGGGCCACGCTTTCGAACTGCGGACTTTACGTAGAATGGTCCACAGTAATCGACACCGCACACGGAAAACGGACGCGTCGGCGAAACTCGCGATACCGGCAGATCGACTGTTGTCCCAAGCTTTGATGTTTGGCGTTCAGGTCGCCAACGATGATGAAGTTTTCCCACCTTAGCTTGACAATATATCGTCGCAGGTCTGATGCCGACCCGGTCCTGATGTTGACTTGTTTGACGACAATAGCTGTTCCTCCTAAGGCCACTGCTCCTCCCCCACTGCTGGTTCGATTCAGCCTCACAAACCGGAAATCAGGAAGGAAGACGTTAATCTCGGGCTTCAGGTGCGTTTCGGTGATGATGGCGATATCGATGTTTCGTTCGTTGAGGAATTCAACGGTCTCGATGCTCTTGCTCTTGAGCGGGAAAGCGTTCCAATTGTAAATTTTGATGGCTTCACGATCCATAATTATTGATGAGGGATACAAGGTCCGCCGATGTAAACAGAGTGTCTGTGGTTGCTGCCATGATAGCCCCGGAGCTGGAGAGGTGCTTCGGGATGCAGCAGCAGCAGCAGCAGCAGCAGCAGCAAAACGTTTATTAAGTGGAAGTGGCGGAAGCATCGGAATTTGGCGCCGTTGGGGGATCGAAGGAAAGTTCTGTCAGTTATTTTCTGGAACCCTTATGTGGCCAGGTTGATTGTGCGTGGAGGCTTTTTTGCGGATCGACGCTTGTCACAATTGTAGCAGCCAGCGGTAGGCCATGTGGCAGTTTCTCGTTCCATGCCCAAACAGCATGCAGTTCGCACATTGGGAGACATCACGGTGGATTGGCTTGTAACGTTCCCAAATCACCACGACGTGGAAAGGGCCCGAATGCTCTCGAGGTCCTTCAAGCATGTTGTATTCCTTTCCAGGTGGACCAGATACAGCTGGTCGCGGTACTTACGTGAAGCGTCATGACGATTCATCTTGAAGATGTTGATTGACTTGAGTCCATTTTGCTTAAATTCATCTGACAGTGTGGCTGATTCCATGTCGGGACGCCACGCAAGACCACCTTGAGCGGTTTGGTCGCCTCAATATCGTGGGAGAAATACTCTTCGTTTTTCTGCTTCAGCAACGTCTCGACGGCCATGTAGTGGTTCATCGTTGGGACCATCAGATTGATGCCTTCAGTCGCATAGGAGTATTGAGCGAAAACCCAAAACTTGATATCTTCAAGAAATATAACTCAAAAACGAAAAGAAAAACTAACACATAGGGGGAATGGATGTAATGTCGGCCTAAATGCTCCTAATTTGGGCCCATACATAAATTCAGCAATCGACTAAATTTTCAATAGCTACCAAAAATATCCATTAGTACCGTCCCAATGACGCGTTCACCTAGATAAAATTGATAAATAGCAGATTTTTAGCGATGGGCCCAATCTTAGATCCATAGGCCAACATTAGAGCCATTTCCCCTACAATCAATATTATCCGATAAAAATTTCAATTTTAATATAATTATATTTTTCCTAGGAAGTATGTTTAGTTAACATTCATTTGATATTTTGATCTATGAAATTAGCCTAGTGGTTCAAAAGTTATCAATATTTGGAAACAGTCATTTAATGGTCACCCTAATGAAAAAAAAATAAATGTCTGATATTTTGCGATAAGGAGCAAAAGTACCAATTTTTACGAAATTCTGAGATCCACTATAACGTTTTTCTATAAAATGGCTGTATGGTTGAAAAATAGCTTGTTCCATAAAATGGACAATCTTGAATGAAATTTCAAAATCTTAAAAAAGCAGCCGCATCCCAAAGTTGACCCTGTTTTCAGTTAAGACTAATCATGCTGTCACCCCGCGTAGTCACGTGTCACCTGAAAACTCTTCGTTCTGGATAGTGTTGACCAGTATCCCGACCCGGCCATTTGACATTGCACAGATGCACTTGATTCGTTATACGTGAGTGGGGTGACACGTTCGCGCCAGAAGTAGGTAGATATGTTTTTACAGCTTCAATCTTGTCCTCATGTGTTCTGCAAAATAGAAACCCATTCCGCACGTTGTCTAGGCATAACATTCGTGCATTTTTTTGGTTCGTTTGCGAAATTCGAGAACAAGGGTGAGCACCAGTAGCGGAGTGAAAAAATGCTCATGCTCAGCTCAGCATCATCGGGAGCTCTGCAGAGAAAGCATCGTCGTGCCGGACCCTTTTCGTTCTCTATCAGCTCTATCACTGGCAGTTCTGATCCGGAGCGCATTCCACACAACCAGTCCGTGTTTCGTCGCAGTCGCTATTCATTCGCGTTAATCCAATTTCCACCCTTTCGAAGCCAAGAAGTACTAATTTTTCCCTTTGTATTTCTCCTTTCATGACCACCAAAGTGCGCCACAGCCGCCAGCTCTACCATCACAGCAGCAGAAACCAATCTATGCATCACAGCAAAGTAACTCCAGCACCAACAGTATTACTTATGGAAGCAACTCGGTAAGTGAACAACTTCCTGTTTCCTTCAAAAGGGGGTGCGAGACTGGAAGTGATGCACAATAGCAGTGCAGTGCGACCTTGACTTTGAAAGCTCATTCATTTCCGCTGGATTGTGCATCGTCATGCCCACCCAGTCGAGGAAATTCGATTTTTCCACGTGCCAGCAACGGCGCACAGTGACGTGACCTTGATTGTCGGTGCTAATTTTTTTCCATTTTCCCATTCCTACCGCCAGCAGCCACAATATCAGCAGCCAATTTACGTAGCATCGAATCAAAATCAGATGATCAACCAGATGGCCTCGCAAATACCAGCGCCACCGATGTCGAACGGAGCGGCGATTTACGCCACGGCAACCTGTTCGCCCAACACTAGCAACAGCACGAATCCGATCTACGCTGGTCAGCAGATTATGCTTCCACCGGGTCAGCCCACCAACTATGGACAAACGAATGGCACCTATAGCGGACAGCCACCGTACGGTATACCACCGGTTAGTATTGACATTCCCATTACATCGTCCTATACTTATACGATCTTCACATATCCGCAGGTTCCACAAATGCCAACACCGCAACCGTCACCACAGATACAGCAGGTGAACGCCCCACCGCAAGCACCGCCACCACCGATGCCACCGGCATTCTCGCTAGCAGCGCCATCCAACGTCCCACAGGTAAGCCCAACTGCCGGTCCAAGAACCATCTCATCTCAATCCTAAACCGGTGTTGTTTCTAGCCTCCTGCGCCACCTTTACCACCGGTCAGTGGCGGGGGCGGTGGTGGTGCGGCACCGCCTCCGCCACCACCGCCACCGGGTGCCGGCCTGCTGGGTGGGAAAGGATCCGACGGTGGTATCAACTCTCTGGCCCTGCAGCTGGCCACTGCCAAACTGAAGCGAAGTCAACCGCCCAAGTCGGCCCCGATGCCGCCGGTTTCCACCGTGACGGAAAACAGCGGCAGTAGCACCTCTAGCGGAGGTAGTGGTAATTATGGAACTATAGGTAGACTATCACTCACGCTACTAACATGTGTCTCATTAGTTCATTGTTTGTATTCGGTTTTGTTTGTGTGTGTGTGTGGTTTTAATCTTGCCTGCTACCATCATCATTATGAGCGACTAACCCCCACACTAGGCATCATTTAAATTATTAATCGAGCGAATACGAAATTCCGAGGTAGAATCATAAATATCGTGTAGTAGTAATTGGCTGGCAAGTAACCATTTTTGCTTGTGGGACATTTTCTCGCATATGGTCAATCATCATTGACACACTGTCTTTAAATCGTGACAGCTCTATACTAACATTATCCAACAGATAAATCAACAGAAACTGAAACATTGGTCAATTTTTATTTTCAGTCACCAATTTCGAAAACATTCACAATTTGACGTATTTGCCAAACTCGATGCGGTCATATTATTTTGTTATAAGATTTGGACACTCTAATGAGAGACAATCAACATGATACATAACACTATTGCGCCAGCATTGTCGTTCCATCATTCCAATCATATTCGTCAACAATCATTTCACTTAACTTTAACATTTCGATGAATTTCACTTCAATGTAAACTGATGCTCCATATGCGCTTGTATCTTTCATTGCGGAATGGAATCTGCTGAACAACAAGATTTCCACAGAAGTAAGTTTTTGGAAATACCTACCCTTTCGGTTACCAAAAATGCATTTAGTTTAATCAAGTACTGATTAAGGCCGATATGATTTAATATGATTTATACGTTCGTAAATGACAGTAAGAACGAGTCTATTGGAAACGGTAGAACTTGTGAACTCCCCCAAAAGTTCTAGCTTCAAATAATTTGCCTTGGTGAGAACGTCAGCTACTTGGTAATACAATGCCACATGCTTCAAAAGTATATGGACTTCCACTTTACCTGTTCTCGTACAAAACGATGTTGATTGCTCTTAGGAAAATATCCCTAGACTTACTCGGCAAAATGGATGGCGCAGCAGAAAGCGCCATGTGCGTTAATTGTCGACTAGCCTTTTTAAGTAAACACCTTCTCGATTCACACAAATCCTCTCTAAATTCACTGGAACCTTAACTCAAATATAAAAGGTAAACTTTTGTAACTAGGAAATTCCAACGAGAATCACCTCCTTGAGCCTACCTTTTTTTTCATAATTTTAGGATCTTTTACGAAGTGTCCAATACTTCCAAGAGATTCCCTACAACTGTATGAAGTTTCAAAATATTCGTGAGGTTCCTGAAATGTTGCCCATGTAGTACGTCACGTGAAATTCTAGGAAAATCAACACTCATCTCGTCACGTTTTTCCTATACCTTATGTGTGTACTGTTACGCAGTCAATCAACTAATCAATCAACTAATGTATTTCCTGTTCCTGTAACAAAACGCTCTCGTTTCACTTTCGACTTTATTCTCGACGGTTGTCACACTGCGTGGTTGCCGCTCTGCGAATACGTATTGCCAGTTTCAGCGTAAGGTATACGCCATCACTCCTCCTCAACGCAGGCCAATCCGTTCACGTAATAAAGGGTGATACGGTCAAAATTTGGTCAATATCAACTTGACGTATTTCTTTCAATTTTGCATTTAAAAAACCTGAACACCCCTCATTTTGAAGGTGTGTGTGTGTAGAATGTTGCTCCTATTTTGATTTTGGAATTCACTCTTCAGTTGTCAAAATGCCGTCCAAGCAAGAAGAGCAGCGTATCAAAATTTTGCTCGCGCATCGCGGAAATCCGAGCTACTCGCACGCAAAGTTGGCAAAATCGCTAAAAGTTGCCAAATCAACCGTTACAAATGTAATTAAAGTGTTTGGGGAACGTTTGTCGACAGCCAGGAAGTCTGGATCGGGGGGAAATCGAAAACCGGAAGCCGCTGAGACGACAAAGAGAGTTGCCGGTAGTTTCAAGCGAAACCCTAACCTCTCTCTCCGAGATGCCGCAAATAAGCTGGGTGTATCGTCTACAACCGTGCATCGAGCCAAAAAACGAGCCGGACTATCGACTTACAAGAAGGTAGTGACTCCAAATCGCGATGATAAACAAAATACGACGGCCAAAGCGCGATCCCGAAGGCTGTACACGACGATGCTGACGAAGTTTGACTGCGTGGTAATGGACGACGAAACCTACGTCAAAGCCGACTACAAGCAGCTTCCGGGACAGGAGTTTTATACGGCAAAAGGAAGGGGAAAGGTAGCAGATGTTTTCAAGCACATGAAACTGTCAAAGTTCGCAAAGAAATATCTGGTTTGGCAAGCCATCTGTACCTGTGGCTTGAAAAGCAGCATTTTCATAGCTTCCGGGACTGTCAACCAAGAAATTTACGTGAAAGAGTGTTTGAATAAACGTCTGCTGCCTTTCCTGAAGAAACACGGTTGTTCCGTACTGTTTTGGCCGGATTTGGCATCTTGCCATTACGGTAAAAAGGCCATGGAGTGGTACGCCGCCAACAACGTGCAGATGGTTCCCAAGGACAAGAACCCTCCCAACACGCCAGAGCTCCGCCCAATTGAGAAATACTGGGCTATTGTCAAGCGGAACCTAAAGAAGACCAAAAAAACTGCTAAGGGCGAGCAGCAGTTCAAGGCAAACTGGCTTTCTGCGGCGAAGAAGGTGGACAAGGTGGCTGTACAAAATCTGATGGCAGGGGTCAAGCGTAAGGCCCGGCAATTCGGATTTGGAAAAGCGGAAGCCTAACTGAATATTTTTCCTGAATTTTATACTAATTGAACTTGAAAAAGAAATTTAATTTGATTTTTTAAATAAACGATTTCACCGATTTACACGCGTTTTCCCTTGACCAAATATTGACCGTATCACCCTTTATCTCCAGCTTGACTCGTGCCAACGGCTTAGTCAGCGCGTCCGCTAACATGTCTTCTGATGGACAGTAGACGACGTCAATCTTCTTCTGCTCAGCCATGTCACGAACGAAGTGGTATCTGGTGTCCACGTGCTTGGACCGTTTAGTTCCTCCGTCTTGCTTCAGTAGTTTAATGCAGCTCTGATTGTCCTCGTAAATTCTTACAGGCTGCTTAACTTCCTCACCAAAGTTCTTCATGAGTTTTAATATCCACTGCAACTCTTGACAACTCTCGGATAGCGATATGTATTCCGCTTCTGTAGACGAAAGCGCCACACAAGCTTGTTTCCTTGCAGTCCAAGATATTGTACCGTTACCAAGTCGAAACATATAACCAGAGTTGGACTTACGGTCGGTAATGTTTCCGGCCCAATCAGCATCCGCATAGCCCTCAAGATCTCATTCCCCACCAACGTACAGTTTCAAATCACAAGTACCTACCAGGTAACGAAGCACACGTTTTGCCTCTACCCAATCGCCAGCGGTGGGTTGGCTCATCTTCCTTCCCAGAATAGACGTGCTAATAGCAATGTCTGGTCGTGTATGCACAGCTAAGTAAAGCAAACCCCCAATGAGACTTTGAAATTTGTCATTGGTTGGTAGTCTATCGCTCTCCTCCTTTTGCTGCATTTAACCTGTGTCCATCGGGATCTTTGACGGTTTAGCATCCTGCATACTGAAACGATCCGCCAATTTCCGAATGTATGCCTTCTGACTGAGGCAATACTGATAGTTCTTCTTCTCTACCTGTATTCCAACGAACTGTTGAACATCTCCAAGTTGGGTTAGGTCGAATTCGGCTTCCAAGCGCCTGAAAATCTCATCGTACTCCTGCTGACTTGAACTTGCGACCAACATGTCATCGACATACAGCAATATGAATGTCGATTTCTGACCTCGATGACGCACATACAAACAGGGGTCTGCATCAGACGGCTTGAATCCCATTTGTCGTAGAACACTATCGATTTCCTGGTTCCACATCCTTGCCGATTGTCGAAGGCCGTATATGCTCTTCTTCAACAAGCAAACTGTACTACTCATCGTAGATTTCACTCCAGGAGGCACTCGCATATAGATCTGCTCGTCTAGATCACCGTTGAGATACGCGGTCTTGACATCTATATGTTTCACTATCATACCTCTTCTAGCTGCGATAGTAAGTAGTGTTCGAAAGGTTACCTGCTTCGCAACGGGAGCAAATATTTCATCGAAATCCGTACCGTAGACTTGGGTGAATCCCTGGGCAACAAGACGTGCTTTATAACGAATCACGTTCCCGTCCTCGTCATACTTGCGTTTGAACACCCAGCGGCATCCTACGATTTTCCTTCCAGCTGGTGCATCGGTTTCCTCCCAGGTTTGATTTTTCCGAAGCGATTCCAGTTCATCCAATATTGCTTGAATCCACTGCTCCTTTTCAGATCCACTGACAGCCTCCTGATAAGAACGTGGTTCGCCAGACAACTCCTTCACGGGACCGTTAACCTGATAACGCTGTGGCGGAACTCCAAAGTTACTACGCCGCGACCGACGCATTTCGCCGTCCGGCAGCTCCTCCTGTTCCTTGTCTCCGCGGTAAAATGAACTTGCTTCAAAACCTTCGAAATCTTCTTCATCTGCATCTTCATATTCACTCAATACACTTCCATTTTCATCATCAATTTCAGGGCCAACTTCATTCTGCACCGTTAGTGGGAACTCAACGACACTATCTGATTCCTCCGAAGCCTGCTTTGTTGGACGGAAAATCTCCAACTGCTCCTGCTTCAGAAATCTTACATCCCTGCTTATGACGACCTTGTCCGTTTTCAAATCAATCATTCGGTACCCCTTATGCTGCGAAGAGTACCCGATGAATGTCATCCGTACGGCCTTTGGTTCCAGCTTGGTGCGTTTTTCCGAAGGAACTAGAACACACGCCTGCGAATCGAACACGTGAACACTGGCTTCTTCTTGAAAACGGTCTCGAAAGGAGTTGTATCTCTCACCCTTGTCGGAAGTATGTTCTGCAAATAGTTGGCAGTATTAACAGCTTCCGCCCAATATTTGTAGCCCATGTTGGCATCGAGCAGCATGCATCTGCCCATCCCCACAAGCGCCCGATTTTTGCTCTCTGATACACCGTTATTCTGTGGTGTA